TAATCAAGAAGATAACAGCTTGAATAACAAACAAATATGTTTTTTAAAAATATGTTTAATGACGTTGCTCCTGAGGATGATTGAATGTACGATCGAAACCGGTAGAGCTGAAAATTAAAAAATCCATCTATAAATACACATAGTTTTATTTCAATTATATAAAAAATATTGCCTGTTTTTCTGCAAAAAACACGTTATTAAACAAATTCATACTTTTGTATGTTATTTGTATTTACTTTTTATTTTTTCTTAACTTTGTTAGATGTGCCAGTCAATATCTATGAACTACAAAATGTGGTTTCAACAAGATGGTTACACTTATGTCTTGCAAAAAGACTCTTTCAAATAAGGTTAATCTAAAGACAAAATTAAACAAACAAATTTATTTATTATAGAGTCAGAGAATGAGGAGGCCACGTAATCGAACCCCCCCAATCCATCTTTCTGGGTATTCTGTATGCAATCCCATACAGGACAAGCACAATGAGCTGGGCAACCATCTTGTTGAAACCACATTTCTCTGCAGATATTGAGTGGCACATCTTCTAACAAAGTTATTAAATCATTTTGGAGAAAATACAAATAACATACGAAAGTGTGAAAATAAAAATAGCAAGTGTTATACCATTTTGGAATCTTGACTAAACAGGCCATCTTTTAAAATAACTTGCCAAGGGTGTTGTACTACTCCTTTGTTTAGAAATCGTGTGTCAAACTTAATAATATAATAAAACTTAATAATATTAATTAATTTTTTCTGATCCTAGAACCTAAAGATATGAAGTACGGGAACGATTTTTAACATTTTCAAAAATATGTCTATTACCACTTAACTAAGAGACATTCTTATTTTTACCAGAACAGGTATGGGTTGGCCTCTCACCCGGCGCCCGCTTAACGTTGAGTTTCGGGACCTCCTGTATATTGTAGTGGAGAAATATTGTATATTGTAAATTATTTAAATTTATTTAACTCAAATTTATATATAAAAATCGTATCTCAAGAACGAATTAAAATATCAAAAACTCTTTTAAAAGAATTTTCTCAATAATTAATTAATTTTGTTTAATTTATAATTTCTTACACATATATATTTTTTTAGAGTACTCATCATGTTTTAAGACAACGTTGGTCGTCAACTTATTCTTACGTATCCTCAATGCTGGTTTCGATGTGCACGATTTATTATTTCGATGTTGCTTTAGAACATCGCAATTTCAGGCGTATTTTACATCGATTTTTTCATACAAAACAAATTTAACCTTTATATTTTTAGACATGGACTTTTTAATGATGATAGTATCGTTCATCTTGATAGCTTTACCACTATTTTACATGCAAGTTCTTTTGGGGCAATACACTCAATCGGGGGTGATTTGCCTACGTCACATGAGCCCTTTAGGACACGGTATCGCATTCGGGTTTTTACTCGTCACATTCGCCCACAGTATTAAATTGGGAATTTACGCAGCCGATTTTTTAACGTATTTAACACAATCGTTTAGGTATGAAATTGAATGGCTTGGGTGTTCGGAGAAATATCGAAGTGTTTGTTGGAACGGTTATGAACCTTGTGAAGTTAATAATTGTTTAAATGAAACTATTAAACCATCAACGTATTATTATTATAGGTGAAGGGTAAGAAAATTGGTTATAAGAATAAAATAAAAGTTTTATTTCAGGGATGTTTACTGTAATAGAAGAGGTTTGAATCAAAATACTACGGTGCAAATGCCCAATTTGCATCGGTCGATGCTTATTTTGCTTTTTTGGTTATTGGTGTGTTTGATTATTAATATTTATACAATCAAATTTCGAAAGGTAAAAAAGAAATGTGTATTTGTAAAGATTTTAATTAATTTTTTTTTAGATTATTACTAAATTATGGACGATCACTTTTGTACTTTTAATTATGAACACCATTAATATGTGGGTTAGGGATTATAACATTGAAATAATTGTCGATATCTTAGTTGTAAATACAACAGCTTTATTAAACACAAAAGTAATACCTATATATTGTGCTCGCCAAAATGTTAATAATACCCTTTTTTTTATCATATCATTAATTTATAAATTTGGCAATGTCTTCTTAAATAATTTCTTCCTGAAAATTTCAATAATATTATCTTATAATTTTTATATCATATCATAAATTAAAATCTTCAAGCTTCAATTTAACATACATATCAAATCATGAATCTGAAAAATACAGTTGATATCATTTTTTGAAAATTTCGTATTACATTTGATTTACAAATTTGACAATTTCTGTAATAATTATTTCCTCGAAATTTCAATAATATTATCTTATAATTTTTATATCATATCATAAATTAGAATCTTTAAGCTTCAATTTAACATACATATCACGTCATGATTCTTAAAAATACAGTTGATATGATTTTTTGAAAATTTCGTATTACGTATGATACACAAATTTGATAATTTCTTTAATAATTATTTCCTCGAAATTTCAATAATATTATCTTATAATTTTTATATCATATCATAAACTAGAATCTTTGAGTTTCAATTTAACCCACATATCATGTCATCATTTTTAAATATACAGTTGATATCATTTTTTGAAAATTTTGTATTACATTTGATTTACAAATTTGACAATTTTTATATCATATCATAAATTAGAATCTTTAAGCTTAAATTTAACGTAATTATCATATCATGATTGTTAAAAATACAGTTGATATCATTTTTTGAAAATTTCGTATTACATTTAATTTACAAATTTGACAACTTTTTCTTTAATAAATTTTTCCTAGAAATTTCAATAATATTACCTTATATTTTTTATATCATATCATAAACTAAAATCTTTAAGCTTCAATGTAACATACATATCATGTCATAATTCTTAAAAATACAGTTAATATCATTTTTTGAAAATTTCGTATTACGTATGATTTACAAATTTGACAATTTCTTCTTTAATAATTTTTTTATGGAAATTTCAATAATATTACCTTGTAGTATTTATATTATATCATAAACTAGAATCTTCAAGCTTCCATTTAACATACATATCATGTCATGATTATTAAAAATACAGTTAATATCATTTTTTGAAAATTTCGTATTACATTTGATTTACAAATTTAACAATTTCTTCTTTAATAATTATTTCCTCGAAATTTCAATAATATTATCTTATAATTTTTATATCAAATCATAAATTAGAATCTTTAAGCTTCAATTTAACATACATATCATGACATGATTCTTAAAAATACAGTTGATATGATTTTTTGAAAATTTCGTATTACGTACGATTTACAAATTTGACAATTTCTTCTTTAATAATTTTTTTATGGAAATTTCAATAATATTACCTTATAGTATTTATATCATATCATAAACTAGAATCTTTAAGCTTCAATTTAACATACATATCATGTCATGATTCTTAAAAATACGGTTGATATGATTTTTTGAAAATTTCGTATTACATTTGATTTACAAATTTGACAATTTCTGTAATAATTATTTCCTCGAAATTTCAATAATATTATCTTATAATTCTTAAATTTAACGTAATTATCATATCATGATTCTTAAAAATACAGTTGATATCATTTTTTGAAAATTTCGTATTACATTTAATTTACAAATTTGACAACTTTTTCTTTAATAAATTTTTCCTAGAAATTTCAATAATATTACCTTGTAGTTTTTATATCATATCATAAACTAAAATCTTTAAGCTTCAATGTAACATACATATCATGTCATAATTCTTAAAAATACAGTTAATATCATTTTTTGAAAATTTCGTATTACGTATGATTTACAAATTTGACAATTTCTTCTTTAATAATTTTTTTATGGAAATTTCAATAATATTACCTTGTAGTATTTATATTATATCATAAACTAGAATCTTCAAGCTTCCATTTAACATACATATCATGTCATGATTATTAAAAATACAGTTAATATCATTTTTTGAAAATTTCGTATTACATTTGATTTACAAATTTAACAATTTCTTCTTTAATAATTATTTCCTCGAAATTTCAATAATATTATTTTATAATTTTTATATTAAATCATAAATTAGAATCATTAAGCTTCAATTTAACACACACATCATGTCATCATTCTTAAATATACAGTTGATATGATTTTTTAAAAATTTCGAATTACGTATGATTTACAAATTTAACAATTTCTTCTTTAATAATTATTTCTTCGAAATTTCAATAACATTGTCTTATAATTGTTATATCGTATCGTAAACTAGAATCTTTAAGGTTCAATTTACCACACATATCATGTCATCATTCTTAAATATACAGTTGATATGATTTTTTGAAAATTTCGTATTACGTATGATTTACAAATTTGACAATTTCTTCTTTAATAATTTTTTCCTGGAAATTTCAATAATATTACCTAACAGTTTTTATATCACATCATAAACTAGAATCTTCAAGCTTCAATTTAACATGCATATCATGCCATGAATCTTAAACATACAGTTGATATCATTTTTTGAAAATTTCGTATTACATTTGATTTACAAATTTGACAATTTCTTTAATAATTATTTCCTCGAAATTTCAACAATATTATCTTATAATTTTTATATCAAATCATAAATTAGAATCTTTAAGCTTCAATTTAACATACATATCATGTCACGATTCTTAGAAATACAGTTGATATGATTTTCTGGAAATTTCGTATTACGTATGATTAACAAATTTGACAATTTCTTCTTTAATAATTTTTTTCTGGAAATTTCAATAATATTACCTTATAGTTTTTATATCATATCATAAACTAGAATCTTTAAGCTTCAATTTAACATACATATCATGTCATAAAAATACAGTTGATATCATTTTTTGAAAATTTTGTATTACATTTGATTTACAAATTTGACAATTTTTATATCATATCATAAATTAGAATCTTTAAGCTTAAATTTAACGTAATTATCATATCATGATTGTTAAAAATACAGTTGATATCATTTTTTGAAAATTTCGTATTACATTTAATTTACAAATTTGACAACTTTTTCTTTAATAAATTTTTCCTAGAAATTTCAATAATATTACCTTGTATTTTTTATATCATATCATAAACTAAAATCTTTAAGCTTCAATGTAACATACATATCATGTCATAATTCTTAAAAATACAGTTAATATCATTTTTTGAAAATTTCGTATTACGTATGATTTACAAATTTGACAATTTCTTCTTTAATAATTTTTTTATGGAAATTTCAATAATATTACCTTGTAGTATTTATATTATATCATAAACTAGAATCTTCAAGCTTCCATTTAACATACATATCATGTCATGATTATTAAAAATACAGTTAATATCATTTTTTGAAAATTTCGTATTACATTTGATTTACAAATTTAACAATTTCTTCTTTAATAATTATTTCCTCGAAATTTCAATAATATTATTTTATAATTTTTATATTAAATCATAAATTAGAATCATTAAGCTTCAATTTAACACACACATCATGTCATCATTCTTAAATATACAGTTGATATGATTTTTTAAAAATTTCGAATTACGTATGATTTACAAATTTGGNAGAAGAAGAAGAAAACAATATTTATTTGGACTTATATCAAAATTATAACAATAAGAAATACGAAAAGAAATACATATATAAAATAAAATAAATATAAAAAAAGAGTCCAAAAGGGCTATAGACCTTAGTCTTAGTCTTCCTGCCCTGAAAATTTCGTATTTTTTCTGATTTATAAAGTTAACAATTTCTTCGATAATATTTTTTTCCTGAAAATTGTAATAAAACCAAAAAGACCAGGGTGTTGCTAACTTTTTGGCAAACACTATTTATTATTATTTTTAATTATTTTCCTTTTAGGCTTGGTTAAAGGTGATCGCCGATCCAATTAATTTAATGGGTTTAGCGAAAGGTATTCACATTTTGCACGGTTCTTTCATCGACATCGGCGAAACTCGCGAGGGTTCCACCGTTTTAGTGACAATTCTCGATATACTCGTGATGACTATGACCATGTCTTTCGGGCGGGCTTCCTTATACAAACTAAGATCAACAGCTAACATGACACGCGACGTTTTTCGCGTTTATTGGGTTCGCGGAGTCGAAATGTATTTCGTCTCAATTCCAATGGCATTAAGTTTATGTCGAATCCCTCAAATGTGGAATATCCTGTATTTCTTAACGTGCTTATTGTTAACGTTAGGAAATCAATTGATGCATTTAGTTACATTGGAACGATCGTTTTGCGATGCTTATCCAACTATTTTAAAGTACTCGAAATACGTTTCAAGTATTATTTGTATTATTATTGTAGCGATAAGTACTTGTATTTCTAGTAAGGTTTGTTATTTTCTGTTTATCTTTATTATTTTTAAAAATATGTTTAGTATTTTCCAGAAGCTTTCACTGTAGAAGCCTTCAGTTTCTGTTTTTTATCAACAATGGAAAGTTTAGTCGTCTTTTTATTCGCCGTTTTTGTATGTTGGCTTTATGGGGTGCAAAAATTTTGCGATGATATCCATTACATGCGAGGTAGCCAACCAGCCATGTTTTGGAAAGTAACCTGGAATTGTTTACCAGTCTTGTTAGGGGTGATCTCATTTATCCCTTTTCCAACTAATTCTTCAACAAAATTTCTTTTAGGTATCATTAGTTACAAAATTTCTTCACTACAACATAGGTATTTTACATTTCGACCGACATGAAATTATTTGTTTAACCATTTTTTTAATTCCAATCCCAGCTGTAACGGTTTATGAGATTTTTCGCTCTATTCGAAAAAAAGTAACTACACGTTCAATGCCTTTCTAATTTTTAATTTATGATTATCTCTTTGTTAGAATGTAACCGGATTATTTCATTCAGAAGAAGAATACGGACCGCCAGATCCGAAAGAGCGACGATTACGAAAATTGTTTAATCCTAGACAAGAAACGAAATTAAAAAGGAAAAGTGAAAAATGCAACCATCGATGTTTGCTTCATAGCAAAGTGTTAAAACGAGCTGTAGGGGAAGAAGAGAACTATAAGAAATCAGGAAATTTATCGATTTATTCTGAAAACGAGGATAATTTAATGAAAAATAAATAAAATGATATTTTTTAAAACATTTCGTGTAAAACATTTTTAAAAAGATCGTATCTCNAAAGTGTTAAAACGAGCTGTAGGGGAAGAAGAGAACTATAAGAAATCAGGAAATTTATCGATTTATTCTGAAAACGAGGATAATTTAATGAAAAATAAATAAAATGATATTTTTTAAAACATTTCGTGTAAAACATTTTTAAAAAGGTCGTATCTCAAGAATTAATTGAGATATTAAGATGAAATAAGAACCATTTTATAGCAAATTTAATCTAGTTTCAACACACCAAAAATTGTTTCTTCGATTCTATAAATCTTCGATTCTATAAATTATTTAAAAAATCGTAACTCGAGAACGAATTGAGGCATCAAATTGAAGTAAAAACCATTTTAAAGCAAATTTAATTAATTATTAATGTGAATAAAATCGTTTCTTTATCTCTAAAAATTTAGACGTTACGATTTTTTTAATTCATCTATATAAAACCACTTTTGATTGGTGAAGTTTATAAATACCAATTTTTGAAAAGATCGTATCTCAAGAATTAATTGAGATATTAAGATAAAATAAGAACCATTTTATAACAAATTTAATGTAGTTTCAACATACCAAAAATTATTATTTCGATTCTATAAATCTCATTGATGCGATTTTTTAAATTTAACTCTGTCGTTATAGATGTTAAGTTGATACTAATTTATTTAAAAAATCGTAACTCAAGAACGAATTAAGATATCAAATTGAAATAAAAACCATTTTAAAGCAAATTTAATTAATTATTATTGTGAACAAAATCGTTTCTTTATCTCTAAAAATTTTGATGTTACGATTTTTTTAATTCATCCATATAAAACCACTTTTGATTGGTGATGTTTATAAATACCAATTTTTAAAAAGATCGTATCTCAAGAATTAATTGAGATATTAAGATGAAATAAGAACCATTTGATAACAAATTTAATCTAGTTTCAACACACCAAAAATTATTTCTTCGATTCTATAAATCTCATTGATGCGATTTTTTAAATTTAACTCTGTCGTTATAGAGGTTAAGTTAATACTAATTTATTTAAAAAATCGTAACTCAAGAACTAATTAAGATATCAAATTGAAATAAAAACCATTTTAAAGCAAATTTAATTAATTATTATTGTAAATAAAATCGTTTTTTTATATCTAAAAATTTCGACGTTACAATTTTTTTAATTCATCCATATAAAACCACTTTTGATTGGTGATGTTTATAAAAACCAATTTTTAAAAAGATCGTATCTCAAGAATTAATTGAGATATTAAGCTGAAATAAGAACCATTTTATAGCAAATTTAATGTTGTTTCAACATACCAAAAATTATTATTTCGATTCTATAAATCTCACTGATGCGATTTTTTAAATTTAACTCTGTCGTTATAGAGGTTTAGTTGATACTAATTTATTTAAAAAATCGTAACTCAAGAACTAATTAAGATATCAAATTGAAATAAAAACCATTTTAAAGCAAATTTAATTAATTATTATTGTGAATAAAATTGTTTCTTTATCTCTAAAAATTTCGATGTTACGATTTTTTTAATTCATCCCTATCAAATCACTTTTGATTGGTGATGTTTATAAAAACCAATTTTTTAAAAGATCGTATCTCAAGAATTAATTGAGATATTAAGATGAAATAAGAACCATTTTATAGCAAATTTAATGTTGTTTCAACATACCAAAAATTATTATTTCGATTTTATAAATCTCGTTGATGCGATTTTTTAAATTCATCTCTGTCGTTATAGAGGTTAAGTTGATATTAATTAATTTAAAAAATCGTAACTCTAGAACTAATTAAGATATCAAATTGAAGTAAAAACCATTTTAAAGCAAATTTAATTAATTATTATTGTGAATAAAATCGTTTTTTTATCTCTAAAAATTTCGACGTTACGATTTTTTTAATTCATCCCTATAAAATCACTTTTGATTGGTGATGTTTATAAAAACCAATTTTTAAAAAGATCGTATCTCAAGAATTAATTGAGATATTAAGCTGAAATATGAACCGTTTTATAGCAAATTTAATGTAGTTTCAACATACCAAAAATTATTATTTCGATTCCATAAATCTCATTGATGCGATTTTTTAAATTTAACTCTGTCGTTATAGAGGTTAAGTTTATACTAATTTATTTAAAAAATTGTAACTCAAGAACTAATTGAGATATCAAATTGAAGTAAAAACCATTTTAAAGCAAATTTAATTAATTATTAATGTGAATAAAATCGTTTTTTTATCTCTAAAAATTTCGACGTTACGATTTTTTTAATTCATCCATATAAAACCACTTTTGATTGGTGATGTTTATAAATACCAATTTTTAAAAAGATCATATCTCAAGAATTAATTGAAATATTAAGATGAAATAAGAACCATTTTATAACAAATTTAATCTAGTTTCAACACACCAAAAATTATTATTTCGATTCTATAAATCTCATTGATGCGATTTTTTAAATATAACTCTGTCGTTATAGAGGTTAAGTAGATACTAATTTATTTAAAAAATCGTAACTCAAGAACTAATTAAGATATCAAATTGAAGTAAAAACCATTTTAAAGCAAATTTAATTAGTTATTATTGTGAATAAAATCGTTTTTTTATCTCTAAAAATTTAGACGTTACGATTTTTTTAATTCGTCCCTATCAAATCACTTTTGATTGGTGATGTTTATAAAAACCAATTTTTAAAAAGATCGTATCTCAAGAATTAATTGAGATATTAAGCTGAAATATGAACCGTTTTATAGCAAATTTAATCTAGTTTCAACACACCAAAAATTATTTCTTCGTTCCTATAAATCCCATTGATGCGACTTTTTAAATTCAACTCTGTTGTTAGGTATCTTAAGAATGAAATAATCGAAAACAATTAATTAACGTTGAATCCTTTATTATTTTAATAACAGTTTGTATTTTTATATACATATTAATATTTGTACATTTATACATAATTTTTTCCTCCATAACTCGTTCAATTTATTCTTGATTACTAATTGCACACGAAGCATTTTCTTTCAATTTTGATTATACATTTTATTTCGTTCGTTTATTATTGTCAGTTATACATAAGTATTCGTTATATTTATCGCTGTTTATACTTATTAAACAACGAGTCAATAATTTATATACGTTTTCCTAATCGTAAATTGACAAGTATGAGATTCGATATAAAAAATCGTTTTAAAATCAAAATTAAATAAATAATTAATAATAATACAAACGTTTCTTTTTTCTCAATAATAAAAATTAAGTTAGATATGCGTTTGTTTTGTGATATGTAAAAAAATCGCTTTTCCTAAAGTACAATTTTTGTTTTATTTAATTTTTTTCTTCTTTCGTTGATGTAGTACTAAGTATGTAGAAAAATACTCGTTATTTTTTGATTTTCAAAAAAGCAAAACATGATTATTTTAAATATATTAATTATTATTATTTTTTTTTTTAATCGCTACACTTTTTATATTTGCTAAGTTTACAGAAGCTATTCACCATTCAAGTTCAACAATTAAATATTTTGTGCTAGCTTATCACATGTTCTGACGTAAACTAAGTTATTTTTTTTATTGATTTTTATTTAATATTCATCATTTGGGTGTTATTATTAATAAATATATTATAAACTAAAAATTATTACGTATTACTTAATTTCTTTAAATACATTGAGATCATCTTTATCGTTAATGTTTAAAAATTAAGTGCTAAAATCTATCAAAAATTATTGTATTTATATTATTATTGTCATTATTCATAATTTCATTTTGTTTTGTTATAAATTATATACACTACAAACATCGGGCAGTATCCTATAATATTTATTTATTTGTAATAAGAATTACTAATTTTCGAAATCATCGTCATAATTAAATCCGGTGGGGCAACACAACCCTTCAGTTCCATCAGCTCTTATACAAAACAATAAATTCTCAGCAGTCGTCACTTCATGGGGCATAATTCCATGGAATTCTTTCAAATCGTTCGCTGGAAACCACGCTTTCTCTTCATCTTCGATTATAATTATTCCAAAGAATCTATTTTGTAAATTGAATTATTAATAATCGTTAAATTAAATGAATTTTAATCGATTTGTACCTGCATATTGCCACCAAAGGGATCCAGATAACAGAAATTAAAATAACAACGGATATCAAAACGATGGCCCATACGGGCCATGAATGCCTCTCGGTTTTCCCTTCGGATGCGATCCAAGCCGGATATCCGGATCCGTCGGTGATAATTTCAATTATACTGGCCATTAAAATCGAAATCATAGTCAAAGGTGATAAATATTTCCAACAAATTAACCAATAAAGACCCGGTCGTTGCCCAGTCATCATCTCAATATCATCTGCAAATCTAAATTCATCCCCATTTATAAGAGACATAGATAAATTATAAAAAAATTTAAATTTGAATACCTTTTTAATCCATAAACATACGCAACCGCTATACATTCAAACAACGCTATAATTAATAAGGGAAAATTTCCACTAAAATTATCGAAAAGTATAAAAATGTAGTTTCCGGCTCCGTGGGCAAACCCCATGGAAAGAAGGCAACACGTTAAACAAATCACGCCTGTTAATATTTCCTTTCGCAGATCCGGGAAAAGTTTCATGTCCACAATCGAGGTGACTACACCCTCTAACGTGCCGAATTGAGAATCGATTCCGAGGGTAAATAACATTAGAAAGAACAGGATCGACCAAAACGGGGCTCCCGGAAATTGATTTATCGCCTCGGTGAAAATTATAAATGCCAGGCCTGTTCCGGAAGCGGACTAAAAATAAAAATGTTTCAACAAATCGATATTATAGAAAAATTATGGTGTTTTTTTTTATTAAAGTTTTCTACTGATATTTCAAATTAATTAAACGTTTAAGTGTTTAAAATAAAAAATATTTTGACAACATACAGATGTTTCTGTAAGTCGTGGCATAATTTTAATCACAAATTCCAGAGTTAAAATGAAACTAGTGATGGAATGGATAGTGATTTTGCGAAAAAAATTGCAACATCGAAAATTTTATCAAAATTTCAAATACTTTTTACACTTTGGGAAATTTACATACTCATATTCCAAGAAATCGATTTTATACGAATTTTTCAAACTTAATCCTCGAAAATTGCAAAATTCGAAAAAATTGTCGATCATTTCAAAAATTTATTTCTCAAGAACTAAAAGTGATGTTTCAAAACGGCTTTTTGCATTAAAAAGAAGACACTTTAATTAATAATTGGTGATATTTTCACAAAGACCCCTCAAGAAATGAATTTTATGACGAATTTTGAAAGTTATTGATAAAAATTGCAATCTCAAAAATTTTATTAAAACTTCAAATATTGTTTTCTCAAAAACTAAAAGTTATTTTTCAAAACGAGTTGGTTCATTGGAAAGAGCACATAATTATTAACATTTTGGAAAATTTTCATACTCATATTCCAAGAACTGGATTTTATACGAATTATTAAAACTTAATCCGCAAAAATTGCAATATTCGAAAAAATTTTTATTTTATTAAAACTTCAAATATTGTTTTTTCAAAAACTAAAAGTTATTTTTCAAAACGGGTTGGTTCATTGGAAAGAGGATACTTTTATTAGCACTTTGGGTAATTTTCATACTCATATTCCAAGAACTGCATTTTATACGAATTTTTAAAACTTAATTGGCGAAAATTGCAAAATTTGAAAAAACTGTCGATCATTTCAAAAATTTATTTCTCAAGAACTAAATGTGATTGTTCAAAATGGCTTGTTGCATTAAAAAGAAGATACTTTAATTAATAATTAGTGATATCTCCACAGGGATTCTTAAAGAAATTAAATTTATGGCAAATTTTGAAGGTTATCGATGAAAATTGCAACCTCGAAAATTTTATCAAAACTTCAAATATTGTTTTCTCAAAAATTAAAAGTTATTTTTTAAAACGGGTTGGTTCATTGCAAAGAGCACGCAATTATCAACATTTTGGGAAATTTTCATACTCATATTCCAAGAAATCGATTTTATACGAATTTTTAAAACTTAATCGGCGAAAATTGCTAAATTCGAAAAGATTGTCGATCATTTTAAAAATTTATTTCTCAAGTACTAAAAATGATTTTTCAAAATGGCTTTTTGCATTAAAAGGAAGATACTTTAATTGATAATTGGTGATATTTCCACAAGGATCCTTCAAGAAATTAATTTTATAGCGAATTTTGAAAGTTATCGATGAAAATTGCTACATCGAAAATTTTGTCTATACTTCAAATATTGTTTTCTCAAAAACTAAAAGTTATTTTTCAAAACGAGTTGGTTCATTGGAAAGAGCACATAATTATTAACATTTTGGGAAATTTTCATTCTCATATTCCAAGAAATCGATTTTATACGAATTTTTAAAACTTAATCGGCGAAAATTGCTAAATTCGAAAAGATTGTCGATCATTTTATAAATTTATTTTTCAAGTACTAAAAATGATTTTTCAAAACGGCTTTTTGCATTAAAAAGAAGATACTTTAATTGATAATTGGTGATATTTCTACAAGGATCCTTCAAGAAATTAATTTTATAGCGAATTTTGAAAGTTATCGATGAAAATTGCTACATCGAAAATTTTATCAAAAATTCAAATATTGTTTTCTCAAAAACTAAAAGTTATTTTTCAAAACAGATTGGTTCATTGGAAAGAGCACACAATTGTCAACATTTTGCGAAATTTTCATACTCATATTCCAAGAAATCGATTTTATACGAATTTTTAAAACTTAATCGGCGAAAATTGTTAAATTCGAAAAGATTGTCGATTATTTCAAAAATTTATTTCTCAAGAACTAAAAGTGATTTTTCAAAACGGCTTTTTGCATTAAAAAGAAGACACTTTAATTAATAATTGATGATACTTTCACAAAGACCCCTCAAGAAATGAATTTTATGACGAATTTTGAAAGTTATTGATAAAAATTGCAACCTCAAAAATTTTATTAAAACTTCAAATATTGTTTTCTCAAAAACTAAAAGTTATTTTTCAAAACGGGTTGGTTCATTGGATAGAGGACACTCTTATTAACACTTTGAGAAATTTTTATACTCATATTCCAAGAGGATTTTATACGAATTTTTAAAACTTAATCGGCGAAAATTGCAAAATTCGAAAAAATTGTCGATCATTTCAAAAATTTATTTCTCAAGAACTAAAAGTGATTTTTCAAAACGGTTTTTTGCTTTAAAAAGAAGATACTTTAATTAATAATTGGTGATATTTCCACAAGGATCCTTCAAGAAATTAATTTTATATCGAATTTTGAAAGTTATGGATGAAAATAGCAACCTCGAAAATGTTATCAAAACTTCAAATAATATTTTCTCAAAAACCAAAAGTTATTTTTCAAAACGGATTTGTTCATTGGAAAGAGGACACTTTTATTAACACTTTGAGAAATTTTCATACTCATATTCCAAGGACTGGATTTTATACGAATTTTTAAAACTTAATCGGCGAAAATTGAAAAATTCGAAAAAATTGTCGATTATTTCAAAAATTTATTTCTCAAGAACTAAAAGTGATTTTTCAAAACGGCTTTTTGCATTAAAAAGAGGATACTTTAATTAATAATTGGTGACATTTCCACAAGGAACCTTCAAGAAATTAATTTTATAGCGAATTTTGAAAGTTATGGATGAAAATAGCAACCTTGAAAATGTTATCAAAACTTCAAATATTATTTTCTCAAAAACCAATAGTTATTTTTCAAAACGGATTGGTTCATTGGAAAGAGGACACTTTTATCAACACTTTGGGAAATTTTCATACTCATATTCCAAGAAATCGATTTTATACGAATTATTAAAATTTAATCGGCAAAAATTGCAAAATTTGAAAACATTGTCGATCATTTCAAAAACTTATTTCTCAAGAACTAAAAGTGACTTTTCAAAACGGCTCTTTGAATTAAAAAAAGGATACTTTAATTAATAATTGGTGATATTTCCACAAGGATCGTTCCAGAAATTAATTTTATAACGAATTTTAAAAGTTATCGATGAAAATTGTAACATCGAAAATTTTATCAAAACTTCAAATATTGTTTTCCCAAAAACTAAAAGTTGTTTTTCAAAACGGGTCGGTTCATTGGAAAGAGGACACTTTTATTAACACTTTGGCAAATTGTCATACTCATATTCCAAGAAATGGATTTTATACGAATTTTTAAAACTTAATCCTCGAAAATTGCAAAATTCGAAAAAATGTTCGATCATTTAAAAAATTTATTTCTTAAGAACTAAAAGTGATTTTTCAAAACGGCTTTTTCAATTAAAAAAAGGATACTTTAATTTTATTAATAATTGGTGATATTTCCACAAGGATCCTTCAAAAAATTAATTTTATAGCGAATTTTGAAAGTTATCGATGGAAATTGTAACCTCGAAAATTTTATCAAAACTTCAAACATTGTTTTCTCAAAAACTAAAAGTTATTTTTCAAAACGTGTTGGTTCATTGGAAAGAGGACACTTTTATTAACACTTTGGGAAATTTTAAAACTCATATTCCAAGAAATAAATTTTATACGAATTATTAAAATTTAATCGGCGAAAATTGCAAAATTCGTAAAGGTTGTCGATCATTTCAAAAACTTATTTCTCAAGATCTAAAAGTGATGCTTCAAAACGGTTTTTTGCATTAAAAAGAAGATACTTTAATTAATAATTGGTGATATTTTCACAAGGACCCTTCAAGAAATGAATTTTATGACGAATTTTGAAAGTTATCGGTAAAAATTGCAACATCGAAAATTTTATCAAAACTTCAAATATTGTTTTCTCAAAAACGAAAAGTTATTCTTCAAAACCGATTGGTTCATTGGAAAGAGGACACTTTTATTAACACTTTGGGAAATTTTCATACTCATATTCCAAGATATGGATTTTATACTAATTTTTAAAACTTAATCGGCGAAAATTGTAAAATTCGAAAAAATTGTCGATTATTTAAAAAATTTATTTCTCAAAAACTAAAAGCGATTTTTCAAAACGGCTTCTTACATTAAAAAGAAGATTCTTTAAATAATAATTGGTGATATTTTCACAAGGATCCTTCAAGAAATTAATTTTATAGCGAATTTTGAAAGTTACGATGAAAATGCAACATCGAAAATTTTATCAAAACTTCAAATATTATTTTCTCAAAAACAGAAAGTTATTTTTAAAAACAGGTTAGGTTATTGGAAAGAGGACACTTTTATTAACACTTTGAGAAATTTTCATACTCATATTTCAAGAAATGGATTTTATAGGAATTTTTAAAACTTAATCGGCGAAAATTGCAAAATTCGAAAAAATTGTCAATTATTTCAAAAATTTATTTCTCAAGTACTAAACGAGATGTTTCAAACGGCTTTTTGCATTCAAAAGAAGATACTTTAATTAATAATTGGTGATATTTCCACAAGGATCCTTCAAGAAATTAATTTTATAGCGAATTTTGAAAATTGCAACATCGAAAATTTTATCAAAACTTCAAATATTGTTTTCTCAAAAACTAAAAGTTATTTTTCAAAACGGGTTGGTTCATTGGAAAGAGGACACTTTTATTAATTTTTTGGGAAATTTTCATACTCATATTTCAAGAACTGGATTTTATACGAATTTTTAAAACTTAATCAGCGAAAAATGGGAAATTCGAAAAAATTGTTGTTGATGAGATTTTATATATCGTATTGGGATTGTTACAATGAGGTTGCTAATGATAAATAAAGTTATATTCAATAAAAGAACTCCTATTGGGGTTGAACTTGATATTATCTGCAGTGTCCAACACCTAAAAGAGACATTTTCTTAAATATTTTCAATATGGTTTATCTTAGAAAAATAAAATTTGTTACACAATGCAAATTTAACATGAAAAATCGTTTAAGATCACTTTTGAAAATATGCAACCACGGAATCAATGCTATACAGGTGTTCACAAAGGTTATTTCCTTTAAACTTTTTGATTATATCATAAACCCTTAAATTTTGCAACTGATTCTAAAAGCCTATTTCATTTTAAAATTATTTTCATTCTTAGAAATTTTTGTTTAGACGCATCGTTTTCGAGTTATTTACAAAAAGCTACAACCTCGTCCACGAAATACTGTCATTAATCATAAGTGCCTACGATTAACATTTTCTCTGATTCTTGCGTCTTCACCTGGACGAAGAAGAGTAAGAATTAATACTGAAACATATTGTAATAAGCATAACGCAATTCAGCTCAATCCAACAGTTTTGGGACAATTTCCAATTTCTTCAAAGCCAATCGTTAATACTCGGCTTTGTCTATCATTGATTACATTAAATTAATTGTAGATTATGCTGGTGCAGAACCAAATCCCGATGCAAAATACGTCAGATTAAATTTATAACGATTCTTTTTATTTCATTATAACTAAATATGACAGAAATATTGACAAAACTATCAGCGCCATCTTTTAGTAAAAATTAATTTGAAATTTTTATAGTAGAAAACTTTAATAATTATTTATTTTTTTACATTTCCCAATTCTTTTTCTAAATCACAAATTGGAAGTTCCGGAATAACAACGCTTCGAAAATTTCCATTTATTCCAGTAAAATTAAAAATTCCTCCACTTTTTAATTCTTTATTACCAAGAATCTCGGTAAAATTTGCCCCAAAGATATACCGTAAAGTTTCATTTCTATCATCGAGACATCTTTCGTACACCATCGTCGCCTTAAATCCGATTATAGAAAAAACCACGATTCCAGCAAACATCGAGGTGAAACAATTCGTCATCGAAACCATTAAAGCGTCTCGATAACAATTATTATTAACAGGATTATAAGAACTAAACGCTATTAATCCACCGAAAGCTAGGCCGAGTGAAAAGAAAATTTGGGTTCCAGCTTCCAACCAAACGACCGGATCTAAAATTGTGTGCCATTTTGGGGTGAAAAGGTGTCTTAAGCCGTCGGAGGCTCCTTTTAATGTTATTCCGCGGAAGAAAAATATTATTAAAACTATGTAAGGGAAAGTTGCCGTTACATAAACGACTTTTCCTGAAGATGCAATTCCTTTTATCATACACATATAAACCAAAATCCAAGCCACGACTAAAGACAAAGCAATTTTCCAATTAAAAACTTGTGGGGTGTTGATGTCGTCTGATACCATTAAAGTTTGGCGGTACCAAAAATATTGAGTTGGACTACTTGCCTAAAACAAATTAATCCATAAAAATTTAATATTAATTGGTAAAAATTAATTGGTACTTACTGTACATTCAGGTTCTGGAGAATAAGATCCATTCGGAAAATACATATTGGGACATTCAGACCAAGGTAATTCCGATTGAAAGCTTTGTGCTAAATAAAATAAGCACCAAGCAATTATGGTGTTATAATATAAGGCTACGTTGAATGATACGACAGCACTACTTATTCCAATTCCTTAAAAAAAGTAATACAATTAAAATTAAAAATGTTTAAAAGCTTTTATAAAAATCGATGTAGCTTTCAAGTTTAAACCATTTTTTTTAAATAAACGAAAAAGTCACGAAAGTGTTGGGGGTAAAAGAAGCGTTCGAGCGAAACGAAATTTGTTAAAGTGGGATGAAGATTGAGCGCCACCCAACGTTGATAAAGCGCATTACGTGAAAATCTCCACTTCAACAATTTCTTATTTTACGATAAGACGTTCTGGTTTTAGTTTTAGTTCAATAAAAATATATGACAACCTGACGCTGAATCACAATTAAAATTTGAGCTAATAGTAGCACTGGAATTAGCACTAGACTTAGAACTAACACTAGCATTAGAACTAACACTATACCTAGAACTAGAAACACTCGGGTTTAGTCGTCTTAAGNAATACTTTTAACCGTGTTAAAGAACTGATTCTAAACTTTGAGGCTGAATAAACAATTTAATTCATTGTTGTTGTTAAAATTTTCTTTCTGGTACAAATGCAAATTAAGTTGTATTTATGATAACGTCGTGTCAGTTGAGATATTTCATTTAAGATAAAACTAGAACTAATTTTAGTACTATCACTAAGACGTCTAAACCTAAATGTTTCTAGTTCTAGGTATAATGTTAGTTCTAGTGACAGTGCAAGTGTAATATTAGAACTAACACTATACCTACAACTAGAATCATTCGGGTTTAGCCGTCTTTAGACGTGTGGCTAAACCCAAATGATTCTAGTTGTAGGTATAGTGCTAGTTCTACATAGTAATAGTGCTAGCGTAAAACTAGAACTAACACTAGATCTAGAACTAGAAAGTTTCGGGTTTAGCCGTGCGTCTAAAGACGTACGGCTCGTTCTAGTTTTAATTGTTATGCAGCGCTAAACCAAGAACTAAAATCATTCGGGTTCAGATAGAATCATTTAGGTTTAGCCACACGTCTCTAAAGACGGCTAAACCTGAATGGTTCTAGTTCTAGGTATAGTGTTAGTTCTAATATTATAAAGCACTGTCACTACAGATACAGATTCTAGAATCATTCAGATTTAGCCGCGCGTCTCTAAAGACGGCCAAACCCGAAACTTTCTAGTTCTAGGTCTAATGTTAGTTCTAGTTTTACGCTAGCACTATTACCATGTAGAACTAGCACTATACCTAGAACTAGAATCATTTGGGTTCAGCCACACGTCTCTAAAGACGGCTAAACCCGAATGATTCTACTTCTAGGTATAGTGTTAGTTCTAATTTTACACTTGCTCTGTCATTAGAACCAGAGGCGGTGCTACCGGGTTGTGCAAGGGGTGCACTGCACACGGTCGCCGCCTAAAAGGGGGCGCCAGCGCCTTTTTAATGTTTTCTCCAACAATATCTTATCTTTCTTTTGCAGTATTTAGACCTGTCAGCAATAGCTAGTCTTCAGAAAGCAGTATTTAGTCTCCACAAAGCAATTTTAGTCTTTAAAAAGCAGTATTTAGTGTTCCAGGCGCTGTATTTAGACCTGTCGGAAGTATCTAGTCTTCAGAAAGCAGTATTTAGTCTTCTAGAAGCAGTATCTAGTCTTCTGCCAACGTTATGTATGTCTTCAGACGCACGGCTAAACCCGAAACTTTCTAGTTCTAGGTCTAGTTTTAGTTCTAGTTTTAATTATTATGCTGCGTTAGACCAAGAACTAAAATCATTCGGGTTCAGTCGTCTTAAGAGACGTACAGCTAAACCGAAATGTTTCTAGTTCTAGGTATAATGTTAGTTCTAGTCAGTGCCAGGGTGCGGGAACCGGAGTGCCCCCCCCTCCCCCCAAGCATTTTGAGCGGAATGCGAGGGGGAGCGTCCAATATGCGGGGGAAAAATTAAAAATTCATTTTGATTTAAAAAAATTAAAAAATGCATTTTCATTAAAAAAAATATATAATCAAAGAAATATAAATAAACTTAAAAAGACTGGAACAATCATAATACATACTTCAGCAAAAATTTCAGAACTATACTGGTGAAAAACCAAACTTAAGGGAATAGTCGAGAATACTCTGGTCAGAAGGTTAATTTGCAAGAAAAAGTCTGAAATTGCAATAGTTATAAACTAGACTTCAGCAAAAAACAGGAATTACATTGTTCAAAGTCCACATGAAGTCTGAAATTACTGTTCAGAGAGAAAACAAAAAATTGATTATAAACCAAACATGATTTTTCATGGCTATACTTATGTGTTCAATAAAAGAATGCGAAGAATATGAACAAGAAACCTATGGACTTGTCTTGTTATTGCACAGGACAAAAAATCACCAATACGGAAACTTTGCCAATACAGGATAAGCACAAAAGCAAAGTAACAGCTGCAGAAATGAGGTACCGGGTGGTACAAGATCCGTATAGATAATAAGAGGCTCCCAAAAAGATGATGATAGACACCCAGAAAGAAGTAGCTGTCAGTATCAAGAACAAAACATACATAACGTTGGCAGAAGACTAGATACTGCTTCTAAAAAACTAAATACTGCTTTCTGAAGACTAGATACTGCTAACAGGTCTAAATACTGCAAAAGAAAGATAAAATATTTTGGAGAAAACATACATAACTTTGGCAGAAGACTAGATACTGCTTCTAGAAGACTAAATACTGCTTTCTGAAGACTAGATACTGCTAACAGGTCTAAATACTGCAAAAGAAAGATAAAATATTTTGGAGAAAACATACATAACTTTGGCAGAAGACTAGATACTGCTTCTAGAAGACTAAATACTGCTTTCTGAAGACTAGATACTGCTAACAGGTCTAAATACTGCAAAAGAAAGATAAAATATTTTGGAGAAAACATACATAACTTTGGCAGAAGACTAGATACTGCTTCTAGAAGACTAAATACTGCTTTCTGAAGACTAGATACTGCTAACAGGTCTAAATACTGCAAAAGAAAGATAAAATATTTTGGAGAAAACATACATAACTTTGGCAGAAGACTAGATACTGCTTCTAGAAGACTAAATACTGCTTTCTGAAGACTAGATACTGCTAACAGGTCTAAATACTGCAAAAGAAAGATAAAATATTTTGGAGAAAACATACATAACTTTGGCAGAAGACTAGATACTGCTTCTAGAAGACTAAATACTGCTTTCTGAAGACTAGATACTGCTAACAGGTCTAAATACTGCAAAAGAAAGATAAAATATTTTGGAGAAAACATACATAACTTTGGCAGAAGACTAGATACTGCTTCTAGAAGACTAAATACTGCTTTCTGAAGACTAGATACTGCTAACAGGTCTAAATACTGCAAAAGAAAGATAAAATATTTTGGAGAAAACATACATAACTTTGGCAGAAGACTAGATACTGCTTCTAGAAGACTAAATACTGCTTTCTGAAGACTAGATACTGCTAACAGGTCTAAATACTGCAAAAGAAAGATAAAATATTTTGGAGAAAACATACATAACTTTGGCAGAAGACTAGATACTGCTTCTAGAAGACTAAATACTGCTTTCTGAAGACTAGATACTGCTAACAGGTCTAAATACTGCAAAAGAAAGATAAAATATTTTGGAGAAAACATACATAACTTTGGCAGAAGACTAGATACTGCTTCTAGAAGACTAAATAGTGCTTTCTGAAGACTAGATACTTCCGACAGGTCTAAATACAGCGTCTGGAACACTAAATACTGCTTTTTAAAGACTAAAATTGCTTTGTGGAGACTAAATACAGCTTTCTGAAGACTAGCTACTGCTGACAGGTCTAAACACATTTGTTGGAGAAAACATTAAAAAGGCGCCGGCGCCCCCTTTTAGGCGGCGCCCGGATGCAGTGCACCCCTTGCACCCCCCGGTAGCAACGCCTCTGGTTCTAGTGACAGTGCAAGTGTAAAACTAGAACTAACACTATACCTAGAATTAGAATCATTCGGCTTTAGCCGTCTTTAGAGATGAGTGGCTAAACCCAAATGATTCTAGTTCTAGGTATAGTGTTAGTTCTACATGGTAATAGTGCTAATGTAAAATTAGAACTAACACTATACCTAGATCTAGAATCATTCGGGTTTAGCCGTCTTTAGAGACGCGCGGCTAAATCTGAATAATTCTAGATCTAGGTCTAGAGTTAATTCTAGTTTTATACTAGCATTATCATTAGAAATGTTGTTGTAGTGCAAACTAGACAGTGTGGGTTTAACTCTAAAGCAATCCAACCCAACCCAATCCTAAAACAAACCAACCTAAACCCAATCAACTCGTTAACTGTAATAATTAAAAAAATAAAGTAAAGAAAACGTAAATTATCGACTTACATATTGATATATTGTATATATAAAATATTAAAATACCTTTTGAAGATGTTGAAAAGCCGAAACCGGTTGTTTCAATAATTCTATTTTAAATAAATATCATTTTCCCAAAATAAATTCGCTAGGTCTAGTGTTAGTTCTAGTTTTATACTAGCACTATCAACTAGAATCATTCGGGTTTAGCCGTCTAGAACGTGAACTAGACACATTCTGGTTTAGTCGTCAAAAAAAAATTTCAGCTGTCAACGTCAACTTTAATTTTATTATTATATTTATAATCTTCATAAAATAACCTTTAAAATGAGTCCAAAGTCGACATATTTAACTTTGATATTAATGGAGCTACAATCACTTCCGGTTTGATACGTCAACGTCAATTTTGACATATTTGTCATCTTCATTAAAAAACCTTTAAAATGAGTCCAAAGTCGACATATTTAACTTTGATATTAATGGAGCTACAATCACTTCCGGTTTGATACGTCAACGTCAATTTTGACATATTTGTCATCTTCATTAAAAAACCTTTAAAATGAGTCCAAAGATGACGCACTTATCTCAAAAAGTAAAAAAGTTAGAATAAAAAACATTATACAGAGTGTTTCTGCAAGTCGTGTCATAAATGTAATCACAAATACTAAAGTCAAAATGATGTTTCAAAAAATGATTTTTTTTAATCAATGTGAAATGACCCAAAAAACACGTTAAAAATAACAAGAAAGTGCGGAAAAGTGACTAACACTAAATTAACTTCAGTTATAAAATTTCTATTATATGATAACTAACTCCAGGTTTAAAATGCCAACCTCAATTTTGACATATTTGCAATCTTCATTAAAAATCCTTTAAAATGAGTACAAACACGACATATTTATCTTCAATATTAATAAAGTTATGGTCAACTTCCGGTTAAGAATGTCAACGTCAATTTTGACATATTTGTAATCGTCGTGAAAAATCCTTTAAAATGAGTCCAAACATGATACGTTTAATTCCAATATTACTCGAGATATAAGCAACTTCCGGTTTGAAATGTCAATGTCATTTTGACATATTCTTAATTTTTATAAAATGTCTTAATATTTGTCACAAAAACAAAAATATAAAAAAAAAAAATAAAAAATTAAGGTTGGTATTAATATTTAAAAATTAAATTGCTATCTTCATTGTTGCTAACTTCGGGTTTAATGTTTTTTATTCTAACTTTTTTGTTTTTTGAGATAAGTGCGTCATCTTTGGACTCATTTTAAAGGTTTTTTAATGAAGATGACAAATATGTCAAAATTGACGTTGACGTTTCAAACCGGAAGTGATTGTATCTCCATTAATATCAAAGTTAAATATGTCGAGTTTGGACTCATTTTAAAGGATTTTTTATAAAGTTGACAAATATGTCAAAATTAATAGTTGAAAAATCGAACTTTTTGTTTTTTTGAGATAAATGCGTGATGTTTGATCTCACTTTAAATCTTTAAAACTAATGATCTAATTAACTTATACTTTTTTTTACCTGAAAGATAACATGAAACTTGATTCCACACTCCAATGGCACCTTTCCTCAACCTTTGCCCAATCGCTAATTCAAGATAAAAAATTGGAATCCCTTCGACCGCCAACATAATAAAATAGGGAATCAAAAACGCTCCTCCGCCGTTCTTTTGTGCTAAATAGGGAAATCTCCAGACGTTCCCCAATCCAACGGCGTAACCAACTGTTGCCAACAAAAATGTTAACTTACTATCCCAAGATTCCCGATCATCCTCCCCACTTTCCGGCTTAAAAACTTTCCCGTCTTGGGATCCCCTTTTACTGCTTGAAGCCGATTTGATTTGGGTCTGTTTCGAATTGGGGCTTGTATCTTCGAAGGCTATGTTCGTCGCTCCGTACATGTTATTCGTGTTTCCATTTTCAACGACAACCAAACGCCCCCGCATCTCCCTCAATTCGAGTCGATCGAGTGATCTTTGGGGGTTTAAATCCCGGGAGCTTTGTCTCCGAACTAAATGAGCTGTATTTGCCATTTTCTTTTTATTTTCAAAGGGGCTTCTTGAAGTTTAGGACGGTTTTTTTTTATAGTTGATGACTCGGTGATTTAATTTTGGACTTTTAATCTATCACATATCTAAAAATAAATAATTAACGTATTTTTTTAAATAATAATCAACTTTGTAATGTATTTATAGATAGAAAGAGAGCGGCGATTTTAAGCTTTAACGAAAGTATTGATCTCTTTCGAAGAATGTGGGAAGATTTATGGTAAGCGTGGTTTGATATTGGGATGATAAATTGCTTTGTCCCGATTGCCTTTGTCAAACCCATACAAAATTTATAAGAATTTTTTTCATTAAATGTTAAACATTCGCATAATATCCATTTTTTTCATAACAGAATTCAATTATATCTAAACGTATAGATGGTAGATGTCGTTACCGTGAAAGAGATGATTTGTTAAACACGCGGAGGGAAAACTCAGAAAATACGATAAGGAAATGGGGGAACGTTTCAATTTCGTTGAAATTAAGGATCTTTGAAAATAGAATATAGAGACCATGAGTTCAATATTGTCTCAATCAGTACGAGGATAGAGCTTGGCATTCTTCGGCAACCGGGAAAGTTCTAGAAAGCTGTTACAAATTGAAAAAATAACTGTTGCTACAAATGAAATAAAGCTTTCTTTTATCTACTCAATAAGTTTCGAATCAATTCATAAATAAATCGATTTTATATGAATTTTTAAAGTTGAAAGAGAAAAATTGTTGAATTAAAAATCGGGATTGAAGTTTAAGAATATTTTTCTCGGGAACCAAAAGGAATATTTAAAAACGGTCGGTTTCATTAAAAAGAGGATTAATTTTTGTGTTAAAAGTTGAAAAAATTAAAAGAATTTAATAACCAATTGATTTTATATGATTTTTTGAAACAAAACCTTCATCAATTATTAAGTAATAATTTTGGTGAATTAAAATATTTTTATCTCAAAAACTAAGAAATATTTTCAAAAACGGTTTGGACCAGTAAATAGGGAAAGCTTTCTTTTATGTACTCAATAAGTTTCGAATCAATTCATAAATAAATCGATTTTATATGAATTTTTAAAATTGAAAGTGAAAAATTGTTGAATTAAAAATCGGGATTGAACTTTAAGAATATTTTTCTCAGGAACCAAAAGGAATTTTTAAAAACGGTTGCTTTCATTAAAAAGAGGATTAATTTTTGTGTAGAAAATTGAAAAAATTAAAAAAATTTATTAACAAATTGATTTTATATGATTTTTTGAAACAAAACCTTCACCAATTATTAAGTAATGATTTTAGTAAATTAAAACATTTTTATCTCAAAATCTAAGAAATATTTTCAAAAACGGTTTGGACCACTAAATAGGGAAAGCTTTCTTTTATCTACTCAATAAGTTTCGAATCAATTCATAAATAAATCGATTTTATATGAATTTTTTAAGTTGAAAGAGAAAAATTGTTGAATTAAAAATCGTGATTGAACTTTAAGAATATTTTTCTCAGGAACCAAAAGGAATTTTTAAAAACGGTTGCTTTCATTAAAAAGAGGATTAACTTTTGTGTTAAAAATTGAAAAAATTAAAAAAATTTATTAACAAATTGATTTTATATGATTTTTTGAAACAAAACCTTCATCAATTATTAAGTAATAATTTTGGTAAATTAAAACATTTTTATCTCAAAAACTAAGAAATATTTTCAAAAACGGTTTGGACCACTAAATAGGGAAAGCTTTCTTTTATCTACTCAATAAGTTTCGAATCAATTCATAAATAAATCGATTTTATATGAATTTTTAAAGTTGAAAGAGAAAAATTGTTGAATTAAAAATCGTGATTGAACTTTAAGAATTTTTTTCTCAGGAACCAAAAGGAATTTTTAAAAACGGTCGCTTTCATTAAAAAGAGGATTAACTTTTGTGTTAAAAATTGAAAAAATTAAAAAAATTTATTAACAAATTGATTTTATATGATTTTTTGAAACAAACCTTCACCAATTATTAAGTAATAATTTTGGTAAATTAAAACATTTTTATTTCAAAAACTAAGAAATATTTTCAAAAACGCTTTGAACCACTAAATAGGGAAAGATTTCTTTTATCTACTCAATAAGTTTCGAATCAATTCATAAATAAATCGATTGTATACGAATTTTTAAAGTTGAAAGAGAAAAATTGTTGAATTAAAAATCGGGATTGAACTTTAAGAATTTTTTTCTCAAGAACCAAAAGGAATTTTTAAAAATGGTCGGTTTCATTAAAAAGAGGATTAATTTTTGAGTAGAAAATTGAAAAAATTAAAAAAATTTATTAACAAATTGATTTTATATGATTTTTTGAAACAAAACCTTCACCAATTATTTAGTAATGATTTTAGTAAATTAAAACATTTTTATCTCAAAAACTAAGAAATATTTTCAAAAACGGTTTGGACCACTAAATAGGGAAAGCTTTCTTTTATCTACTCAATAAGTTTCGAATCAATTCATAAATAAATCGATTTTATATGAATTTTTAAAGTTGAAAGTGAAAAATTGTTGAATTAAAAATCGGGATTGAACTTTAAGAATATTTTTCTCAGGAACCAAAAGGAATTTTTAAAAACGGTTGCTTTCATTAAAAAGAGGATTAATTTTTGAGTTAAAAGTTGAAAAAATTAAAAAAATTTAATAAAAAATTGATTTTATATGATTTTTTGAAACATAACCTTCATCAATTATTATGTAATAATTTTGGTAAATTAAAACATTTTTATCCTAAAAACTAAGAAATATTTTCAAAAACGGTTTGGACCACTAAATAGGGAAAGATTTCTTTTATCTATTCAATAAGTTTCGAATCAATTTATAAATAAATCGATTTTATATGAATTTTTAAAGTTGAAAGAGAAAAATTGTTGAATTAAAAAACGTGATTGAACTTTAAGCATTTTTTTCTCAAGAACCAAAAGAAATTTTTAAGAACGGTCGGTTTCATTAAAAAGAGGATTAATTTTTGAGTTAAAAATTGAGAAAATTTAAAAAATTTAATAAGAAATTGATTTTATATGATTTTTTGAAATAAAACATTCATCAATTATTAAGTAATAATTTTGGTAAATTAAAACATTTTTATCTCAAAAACTAAGAAATATTTTCAAAAACGGTTTGGACCACTAAATAGGGAAAGATTTCTTTTATCTACTCAATAAGTTTCGAATCAATTCATAAATAAATCGATTTTATATGAATTTTTAAAGTTGAAAGAGAAAAATTGTTGAATTAAAAATCGGGATGGAACTTTAAGAATCTTTTTCTCAAGATCCAAAAGGAAATTTTAAAGACAGTTGTTTTCATTAAAAAGAGGATTAATTTTTCAATTAAAAATTGAGAAAATTAAAAAAATTTAATAAGAAATTGATTTTATATGATTTTTTGAAATAAAACCTTCATCAATTATTAAGTAATAATTTTGGTGAATTAAAACATTGTTATCTCAAAAACTAAGAAATATTTTTAAAAACGGTTTGGACCACTAAATAGGGAAAACTTTCTTTTATCTACTCAAAAAGATTCGAATTGATTCATAAATAAATCGATTATATATGAATTTTTAAAGTTGAATAAGAAACATTAATGAATTAAAAATCGGGAATGAATTTTAAAAAATTTTTTCTCAAGAACCGAAGGGAATTTTCAAAAACGGTCGCTTTCATTAAAAAGAGGATTAATTTTTGTGTTAAAAATTGAAAAAATTAAAAAAATATATTAACAAATTGATTTTATATCATTTTTTGAAACAAAACCTTCATCAATTATTAAGTAATAATTTTGGTAAATTAAAACATTTTTATCTCAAAAACGAAGAAATATTTTCAAAAACGGATTTGACCGGTAAATAGGGAAAGCTTTCTTTTATCTACTCAATAAGTTTCAAATCAATTCATAAATAAATCGATTTTATATGAATTTTTAAAGTTGAAAGAGAAAAATTGTTGAATTAAAAATCGAGATTGAACTTTAAGCATTTTTTTTTCAAGAACCAAAAGGAATTTTTGAAAACGGTCGCTTTCACTAAAAAGAGGATTAATTTTTGAGTAGAAAATTGAAAAAATTTATTAACAAATTAATTTTATAGAATTTTTTGAAACAAAACTTTCATCAATTATTAAGTAATTATTTTGGTAAATTAAAACATTTTTATCTCAAAAACTAAGAAATATTTTCAAAAACGGTTTGGACCATTAAATAGGGAAAGCTTTCTTTTATCTACTCAATAAGATTCGAATCAATTCATAAATAAATCGATTTTTTATGAATTTTTGAAGTTGATAGACAAAAATTGTTGAATTAAATGGATATGTTGCCGAAGATAAAAGGTATCTACGAACACAGTGTTATCACGAAAACTACATAACACCAAGCCTTCCATTTAACACAGACAAGAAGCAAAGTGGCATGTTGTTCATTGGTGTTTGATGTCGGAGCTTCTCTCAACTACTAGCACAGCTGTTTCAAGACACACAGCTTGCACCGCAAACCCATCATCTAGTATAGGACGCATGATTTTATCCCCCAAATAATTTTTGCCTTAATGCCAAGGATTCATTTCCGTTGTATTAGAATTCTCTTAAACTCCCAGAAGGAAGAAGTCAAAGTAGAGAATTTGAAATATTAATAGAAGTAGTCGGTCAAAAACAAAAAGGGACATGGGAAAGTTTTAAAGTTATAGTTAACAAAGTTCTTGGAAACTACAGCTAACTATGAAACTGTCATTCCAACATGCTTCCCCGACGACATAATATATTCAATAAAGTGTCGCGGCATATTCAGAAAAATGCTGAAACCAGTTTTATTAAGATCTAGAAGATTTTCAACGTCTTTTATATACCAATAAAATCAAGTACTCATAAATGGGAATCAGTTTCAGCGTTTTCTAACTACAAAAGCAATGTTTATAGGAAGCGATTGTTGTTTTCTCCTATTATTCTACCCCATACAATTGAAAAAAACCGAACTGATATCCTTGAACACAACAAAGTTGAAATTCAGGTCAAACTATGTTTAGAAAAATATGCTGACCGGCAAAAAAAACCGGCCACTAAAATGTAGCCACAATTTCAAAGCTGGC